TTTGTTTCAGTGAGTGTAAAATAAGGAGAGTGGGTGCATGCACGTGTTACTTCTGCCGGGCTTCGCACATCAACTCGGACAAACAATCTATTCCAATTAAAGCGAAAGGCAGACGGCACAAGGGGCTGCGCTCCGTCCAATCTCATCATCCTTCAAAAAGAAAACAGAATCGCTGATTGTGAGTTTTCAGAAAATAGCCTTTAGGAGGGACTGGTGTGAGCTGGAAGGGAGAGATGGAGAGGAGGTGGACTGACTCCAAATTAGTCCAGAAAGTTCTGCAGCAGATTATAGCAAAGGTTCTGGATGAGGAGGAGGTGTCTGGAGGAGGGGGAGGCCATTAATCCTGGCTGTAGCCAGAGTTTATTGCTCTTAGTGCATGTGAGGTGAGGAGACAAATTAATTATGTGGCTGAGATTAATTAGGCGCTGTTAAAGGGAAAATCTGTGACTGTAAAACTTTCGAGGGCTCCACAGCTGACTAGACTAATGGGGCGTTCATGAACTCTTAATAGATGCTTATGTTATCATCATAGAGTGCAAGCAGAGCAGAGAGGAGGCAGAGAAATCAGTGACAGTGCAGGCCGGCCACTGCTCAAACATAATTCAGTCTCAAACAGGGAGCACAGGTGCACGAGAAGTCCAAGTTATAATATTTTTACATGCTTGTCTTTTAAATGACATTTTGTTTTAACAGCAACTTAAGTGATCCTTCAATGGGATTCATGTTACTGGTTTTATTGTGTGAATGTTTATGAAGCATTCACGCTATTGTGATCCATTTTTCTTATGTACATTTTCCGGCATCTCGTTCCACAATTTTTGTGCTACTTCAGCAATAAAACGTTCAGCTCACCCAGAACAATCCTGCTATGACTTTTGGTATTGGTGTAAATTTAGCTTTTTGAAATCTTTAGCATTTTCTGTCATAGAAAATGACGTGAGCTCATTTTACTGTACATCCTTCAAATTTTTAGATGTGTTTACAACCTTTTACTGCTCTTTTCACATTTTGTGCTGCTTCAGCTTCCTTGTGCAAGTTTCAACTTCTTTTTGTTGTTGTTGTAATTTTCAGCTAATTTCAGCTGTTTTTTCAGCTGGTTTGTGCTCTTTTCAGATTCTTTTTGCTAACTACAACACTTTTGTGTTTCTTCTAACTTCCTTCTACTAGTTTCAAGTTATTATGCTCCATTCAGCTTATTTCTGCAAGTTTCAACTTTTTCTGATTTTTAGCTACTATATAGCTGTTTTTATGCTAATTTTAGCTTTTTCAACTAAATTCCACATTTTTGCAATCATTTCAACTTTTTTCTGCCTAAATTGGCAAAAATGCTTTCACCGCTCCCTTCTTATCTTTTAAGTTTCTTTCTGATTTTTTAGCTGCTTTTCAGCAGTTTTTTTGTTGCTAATTTCAGCTTTTTTTAGACAATTTGCACTTTTTGTGCACATTTCTGCTTCTTTCAGCCGAATTGGGAAAACATGTTCTTTCTGCTTTCATCTGCTAATTTCAGCTTGTTTTACCTTTTGAGCTAGCTTTTTGTGCATTTTTAGCTAATTTCAGCTGTTTTCAGATAAACTCAAGTTTTTAATGTTACTTTCTGCTAATTTCAGCTTTGTTCTGCTAGTTTCAGCTTTTCCTGCTATTTCAGTTATTTTTTAGTTTTTTTGTGTGCTAAATTTGGCTTTTTCAGCTAATTCCATATATTTTAGCTCAATTCAGCTCCTTCCACTTCTTCTGGTAGCTTAAGCTTCTTTCTGCCTTTTCAGCTATTTTCAGCTGTTTTTTTAACATCTAATTTCAGCTTTGTTTTAGCTAATATCCTAATTTTTGTGCTCATTACAGTACGTGTTCTTTTTGTTTTATTCTGTTAATTTAGGCTTGTTCTTTCATTTCAGCCGCGTTTCAGCATGTTTTTTTAAAGCTAATTTCAGTTGTTTTTCAGCAAGTTCTTCAGCAATAAGCATGCACACTGTATTTTCACAGGAAATGTGATTTCTCTAGTTTTACTACCGGTAGTTTTAAAACAAACAAATCCAGCAGCATGCCACCAAATGAGAAACTCGCATACACGACAAACAAACTATGCACAAATGCTGCAACAATGGAAATAATAATAATAAAAATATATATTTATGTGAAACGAACCTGATCTCCAAGGAAGGTCCCCTTTTATTTTGTCCCATATGATAAAAATTTTCATTGGATGCCTGATCTCTAGTATCCATGAGGAAAAAGATGATAATTTTTCACAAGCATAAAACAAAAACAGGACAGAAAGCAAGAAACGTGTTGAACACAGTAAAAACAAACACACTCAGAAACACCAGAACAGACAAACCCTCACAGCAAGAAAAGGTGGTTAAAAAAAAGTGCTAAACTGACATCAAGCACAATCTGAGCACAAATCCATAAAGATTAATTGTCATTGAGACGTCTTCATGAATCACATGAAGCTCTGATGATCTATCAGCCTCCGTGCAGAAAATATCTGCAAAACTAACCTTTCACATTATTACATTGCCGGTGTGACGTTGTGTAGTTTGGCTTTATGGTCACATTTTATTAAAAGGAGGATTATAAATTCTTCATTTTCTTCCAGCATTTTCAAGTTCTCAATCTGGATCGAACTTTTAATGCTATGAAAGGCAGTGGGCGATATGCATTCTTCAAGGAAGGATGGTTCAAGTTTAAAACACTTCCTGCACCAAATTTATTTGAATTGTTTCTGTTTTTTGATATTATAACCTTGTTCTCTTTGCACATGCATGCTTTTGTTTCCAGATACTCCGGTTTCCTCCCACATGCATGTCAGGCGGATTGGTAACTCTAAATTGTCCTTGAGTGAGTGAGTGAGAGAGTGAATGGTTGTTTGTCTCTGTGTCCATGTGATGGACTGGAGACCTGTCCAGGGTGTCCCCTGACTCTTGCGCAGTGATAGCTGGATATGGGCAGTGACCCCCATGACCTATAAAGGAAGAAGCAGGTAAAGATAATGTCCAAGAAATTCGAAACTGTATTTTTGTTTTCTTCTCAGCCATTAATCATTGGAAGCTGCCTCAGAGTTATTCACTGATCTTTATTTGAATCTATTTTTAGTCAAAAGGAAGCAAGCCGCTTCAATATCAATAATCTAATCATTTATAATAAATCAGTTCTATTTCGAAAGTTAGACCACTTTATGTTTAAACATAATGTGAACATCCAGGATTGTTTTAATGCAGGTTTTTAAATTTTCACTGAAGCCCTTGGCATGATTGTATATATTTTTTTTTTTTTACTTTAGAACAATAATATTTTCTCATTTTCAGGCCATAATTGTCATTTCAATTATATCCTCAAGTTGGTGGAGCTGCAAACACTGAAAAACGGTTCTTAACGCTGTTTTTTTGTAAAAAGCCAAGAATAAAAATATTACAGTTTATTGTATAATCTCAGTAGGTGATTTGTCATGAAAATTCTGAGGTGCTATGATAAGCAGAAAATTGAACGAGCAAAGAAAAAGTCCCTAAAGCTCTTGAGTAAATGTTCTTCCTTTCATCACAGTTAAAGCTTTGCAAAGCTTCCAAGTGTGCCATATTTTGACATCTTTTTTTTTTTTTAATGAGTGCTCTTGCTGGCTGGAGAGGAAATGATTTATCTGGATATTCCATCAGTCTTCGACCCAGAGGAAGGTGACATTGCCGCTTGATTTGAAGTGAAGCGACTGCACATACCAGCACGTGAAGGATAAGCCCTGAAAACGCTCGTTTCAGTGTTTCGTCACTGCTCCCTGATAATCTACCTGCAGAGATGTTTACCTTCTCTGCCCTTTTTTGTCTGTTTCCTCTTCGCCCGCAGCAAAACCGGTTTCCCTCCAAAGCCGCTCTGATATTACCTAACAACACAATACAAAAAGAAGTCATGCAAACTGCAGAGACGGCAGGAAAAATACAATTCCTCATCTCAGAGGGCAAAGAGAAAATAATCCTGTGGTCTGCGATGAAGGGGCGCAGGGAGGTTAACATCCTGTTTGAAGTTTCAGCAAACCTCTGAGTGGATCCAGGCCTCATTCAAATATGAAACAGCAGCAATGCTTCTTTTTTTTTTGTTAGTGTAATGTCTGCAAGACTGTGCTGCTGATGCTTCTAAGCAGCGATGTGATTTGAATAAAAAATGCCTTCCCTGTCCTAAAAACTAAGTAGGAAGATTGCTCCCTGGGGCATAAACAACTTCTCTTTTGATTCTGCCTGGTTCAGATTGAGCTCAATTTTGACTCTACCTCCGTGCCCACTCTCAGTTCATTTATGCTAAACATATGTTATCATGGCAAAGTGTAATTTAATGTGTAAAGCAGTTCTGAGAGTTGTTTTTTTTTAACAGCTAATCAGAGACTGAACATGAGAAGCATCAGATAAAACACTAATGCAGGATGGCTACAAAGGAAATTCAGGGCAGTAAACTGCTTAACGTATTTTTCGGATTATATGGCACAATTAAAATCCTTTAATTTTCTTAACAATTGACAGCGAGCCTTATAATCAGGTGTGCATGATGTATTAATTCTGGTTGTGCTTACAGAACTCGAACTGATTTTATGTGGTTATTGTGAATGAGTTGAATAAAGTTTGACTTATCTGTTTTGTTTCGCTTAATGCGCCTTAAAAAAATATGGTAAATGATAAAAAACTGAACCAGCAAAGGGTCAAATGTTCAAAAATGTTGTGGTCTTCCTTTAAACGTAGAGTTTGCAGATGTTAAATAACGACCTGTGACCTCCAACTGAGACATGAGACTAATGACACAGCACACAGATGCACAATGGATGAATTTAAAAAGAATCAAGAAAGTGTAAAAAAGCAGCAGACATGCTAAAAATAAAATACATCTTTATTATGGTATTAATTTATCAGTTAAAAAACATATACAGGACATACATATTGATTAGAAATAGCAGATGTGCACATTTTTTATAATGACCAACCTAACGGGACATTTAGGCAACAGAAATCAGGATAGCTTGTGCCTGAAAGTGACGACAACAAATAATAATAATGATAATATTAATAATAATAAAATACAATCCTAGCAGCAGGTAAATTCCTTCAGAGGTCTAAATGTAGCGAGACACTAGCGTCATGTTATAAAAGGTGATTGAGGGTGATCTGACAATACAAAACTGCTCAGTGCACGTATTTATGTGACATTTTCTGGCACTGGCCAAAACATCGAAGTCGATTTGTTTCTAAATTTGAGCGAAATGTACGAGTTCCACAAAGGAACCCCGCATCTGCCTCAGTATTTGGCTCGACCGCATTCGTGTAGCAAAAGAAACTGGTAAAAAAATAGATTTAGTTTAAATTCACATCGGCTTTGCTCCTTTGTCGTTCATTTCCAGTTGAATGTTCGTCCCACCAGCTCAAAGAACTTCCTGTTGGGTTCGTGGAAGAACTGGTAGAGCTTCTGCAGGATGGCAGGAGCCACGCGAGGGTGCGCTCTGCCCTTCGAGTCGTGTAAACACCTTTCCCGCCCGTGGTCTCTCAAGCAGTAGAATCCTTTTGTTTTGTTGAAGTAAAAATTGGAAGCGTTCAACTGAGGCTCCAGGTTTAAGAACTTTTCCACTTTTTTCATCTCGGGCAGGGGGTCTTTGATTAGCTGGTCCCCGTCAACGACATGAATGCTCTCCGGGGGGAAGTACTGCAGCCAGTTCTGCATGTGGATGTAGTACAGGCTGCGGTTGAGGGCCTTGTATCCCAGGTTGATCTCTCCATCCTTCACCAGCACGGATTCAATAGGCTGGTAGCTCTTGTGCTTCTGGAGGCGGTTGTAAAAGACCTGGGTGTAGTCCGACAGCACCCGCTCCGTGGGGTCTCTGAGGATGAGCAGGAGCTTGATGTTGGGGTTCATCTGGTGGATGCGCTTAGGGACTTTGCTGGAAGTAAAGTAGGCCGGCGTTTTCTCCACCGTCAGTTGCTCGGGGAAGGCGTAAGGCATCTGGCTCAGATACCAAGGCAAGCCCTTCTGAAAGTGGCTCTCCCAGTCGAAAAAGTGCACCTCGTTCTGAGCCGCCACCACCGCGCTGTGCAGACTGAGCATCTCGATGAGCGCCCGCGTGCCCCCCTTCCTCACACCGATGATTATTATTTGAGGGAGCTGCTGGAGGGTCCCGTTGGGGTGGCTGGTGGTCTCGTTGTCAGCAGGCGAAAGGGTGGGATAAGACGAATCCCTGTCCGCCAGAGGCCTGGAGGGAAGAGGAGGGGACTGCATTGCAAAAAGCAGCAGCCCGAGGAGCAAGGCTGCCATGAGGGAGGCCCTGACCCTGGAGGATTTCAGCCTGGCGAATGCACCGGAACCGTCTCCCACATTGAAAGAGCGTCAGCCTGAAGACAATAGGGTCTGAGGGAAGGAAAGCTGCTTTCCCCCAACCTGCAGGGGAAGGAAATGGAGGTGAAACACCTGCTCACCATCTTTAGGAGCTAAAGTTCACAGAAAGCAGAAACCCCTAACAATAAATGTTTAACACAGAAACGAGTTATTCATTGATCTTTCCATCAGCTTTAATTCTCTGTTTAATGTTTTATTTTAGTTCAGATGGGTTAAAAAATAAATAAGTAACTTCTCTGTGGAAAAGCTCGGAGCTGCACAAACCAGTGATGTCCAATCTATTGTTGAGCAGAACATCTTGATTATTATTTTTTTTTTACTGATGTGACTTATTATTGGTTTTATTGTGCAAGTTTATTATATTTATCTAAAACTATTAGATTTTATGTACACTTCATTGTATTTTAGTCCATCTGCAATGCTTTTAAAATATTTTAGCTGTCGTGCAAACGGAATTGTTTTTAAAATGTGCTGTGAAATAAATGAACATTGATTAATCATGGTGTGTTATGAAATAAATGTATCTTACAGCGTTAAACCAGAAACAAGCAGATCAAATAACTGTTATGGATAGAAACAACAAATCTTGTAAAAACACCTTTAAGGCTTTTAAACCGCAGATCTTCACACGCGCGCCTCAGCTCACCTGGGTTCCCGTTTTCGCAACAAACCCATCAACTACGGAGCGTTTCTTACCTTTCAAAATAAAATCGCACCCCCCTCCTACAAAGAGCTCATGTCTCTCAGTCCGGGTCTCGCTGCTCGGACCACCGACGCCTCCTCAGCAGCGGATCCAGGTCCGGTCTGGACTGCGCGTCTCCGCGCGGTCAGGATCTCCAACTTCACCGGAGCGCGTCCTCCGTGTGCGCAACTTCTCTCCGTCCTCGCGGTTTTCTGCGCGTCAGCTGTGGTGAGGGAGCCCACGCCTACACTGCACGCCTCCAGGGGCCACTCCCCCACCGACGGCACGCGCGCGCACACGCACGGACTGTGGAAAATTTCAGGTATTTGAAAGAGATAACGCAGTGTGAAATGAGAGGAGGGAGAGCAGGTGATCCATGTGTGGGACTCGGAGTGTTTTTCGTTAAGCTGAGATGCTCTTGTAGGTCTGAAAACCTGCACTGGATTAAATAAACACTCAAAAGGCCAATTTACTCCTTTATATTTGCTTTCCTGCGAATCCGAGGGAGAGACAAACAGTCAGATATTCATCCTTGGCACTCTTCTCCTCCTTTGTCCTCGCTGCAAGTGCATCTGTGAGCAGTCACCAGATCCAAAATGCACAATCTCTCCATCTGTTGAGCTCTATTTTTCCTCCGAGATGTTTAAAACCATTTCCTCCGGACAGTGTAAAACATTTCTCCCAACTCCAAGCTGCAGATACAGGGATGTTGATTTAAACGATGATTTCACAATTCTCTCTGAGTCACCTTTGAACGTACAGTCAGCGTGAATCAAGTTTTAGTGAGGACAACAGTGCTGGTGAGTAAGCAGCATGTCAGCCATGTAAAAAAAAAAAAGACAAAAAAGGCACTTGCCCTGTATGTGCCACTTGTATTCTGCAAGGTTGGAAAAAAATAATAATAACAGTGAGAGGTGTATTTGTGACAAATGGCAAATGAATCTGCTTGAAAACAGAACAAAATGTACAAATCACATCTGATCCAACCTTGTAGAGGTGTCTCGATTATTAAACTCTGCCCGCTTTAATTGGATATGGGATGTTGCTGCCATCACACTGTAAGCACAAATGATGCTGAATGTGGAAGCAGCTGATTCTACCCTTGTTTGCGAAATTTTCTGCTGTGTAGGTTATTTAAGTGAAGGCCATCCTACCCATTAAAGCAACTGGGGTGCTACAGAAGGAACAAACAAAAAGCCAGCCCCACTTCCTAAATACATCCTCCCTTTGTGAAGACTGCACACGTCTGTGCTTTGCTGTTTCAGAGAGCAGAGCCTAAGTGCTGAGTTTTACCCCCCACATTGATTTTTAGATGCAGTTTAGTAATCCTCAGATTCGGCCCTCATTTCTCTTAGAGACATGTCAATTCAGCTGAAATGTACAATATAATCCCACTTAGAGATTAAGAAACGTCCGGTCACATTAACATGACAAAAGTGCAAACGCACAGGAGGTGAATATCTTCAAAGACACTTGAGTAACTTCCTTCATCCTCAGTTTAGGTTAAAGAACGAGTAACACCATTTTAAAATAAGAGGACTTTGGTTACGAGATCAGGAGCATGTGACGGCTGCAT